GGATTGAACTCAGGTCATCAGGCTTGGTGGCAAATACCTTCATGAGCTGAGCCATTTGGTGGCCTTTGCTCCATTTTTTTTCTTCTTTTTTAGCATCCGCAAACATTTATTTACATGGAATTCAAGTTACATATGATACAGTCATTTTACCTAGTAGTTTATGCAGACTTGACTTCTCTGTTTTTACTACCAAAAGGTAAAGAAAAACACTTAACCATCTACTTCATTGTTTTTCTTTTTCTCTTTTGTACAAAGTGAGATCATGCACTTTTAACTTTGAAATCTTTTGCTAAATGCAAACACTAGATTCTCTCCAGTTTTAAGGTAAATATACTGGGAGTGACTAGGCAGATTCTCAGACCAGAGCAGAACCTGCTGGCACACAGGTTCTGGGAGGACCACTAAGGATGAGAGGCCTTGAGGGGGACAGGCAGGAACAGCCTGCCCTGCAGCCACGGCCACACTATATTTCCAAGGACACGACCCTGACTTCACAGGTCTGGGCTGCACCTGTTCTTCCAGCCACCTCAGAAACTGCCAGGCTCACCTGGCCTCTTCGTGGGTTACATGATAGGGATATTGTGTGACCCAGAACTGGGTGTCCCGTCCACACGCTCATGAGGCTTGGAGGAGCAGTGCTTGGAGTAACCACCCACCCGTGGGGCCTCTAGAGAAGTCCCTTGCTCCATTTTTATTTGCAGTTTCTATGTTAGTTACTTTTGGTTGCTGTGACAAAACACTGTGACCAAAGGCAACTCAAGGAAGAGAATGTATTCTTGGCTTATGGCTCCAGAGAGAGAGAAGAGTCTGTCACATGACTGGGAGGCATGGCAGCAAGCGCCAGGCATGGTGACAGGTGCAGCAAGCATAGAGGTCACATCTTAAGTCTACAGACAGGAAGCAGAGAGAGTGAATAGGAAGTGGTGAGCGAGGCTAGAAAATCTCAAGGCCCACTCCCAGTCACATACCTCTTCAGCAACATCGCGTCTCCTAAACCCTCCAGAAGCATCACCGGCAGGGGCTAAGTGTTCACATTCAGGAGCCTAGGGGAGACGTTTCTCATCCAGACCCCCAGGTTCCATAGTCACTGTTGTAGCGGTTGTATGGTTATATGGCCAGCAGCTGGCTCCTGTCTGTTTTGTGCTTGTTCTATTTCCAGACATTGACTTCTGCTTCTGATTTCTAAGAAGAATATGATCTTTGTGGATAAAGGTATACAGGTCTTTTTATTTATTTATTTATGTCTCGCTATTTAGCATTGGCTGGCCTGGAACTTGCTATGTTGACCAGGCTGGCCTCAAACTCATAGCTCTGTCTGTCTCTGCCTCCTGAGTGCTGGGATAAAAGGTGTGTGCCACCACGCCCAGCTCTGTATTATATATATATATATATATATATTGTATAGAGCATTCTTTTTTTTTTTTTACATTTTTAATTAAAACATATTACTTCCCCCTTCTCCCTTCCCCTCCCTCCAACCCCTCTTGTGACCTGTTGGGGGATATTTGATCACAGTGTGGACTCAGTTTGCATTTATATTAATTAAATAAAATTACCCTTGGGTCAGGAGGCGGAGTCAAACTGGTTGACAGAAAGTGATCATAGATCCTCAGAGGGCACCAGGAAGAGAATCACAGGAAGAAGTAGCGGGGCTTGGGGTGGCACAGCTTTTTCTGGTCTTCTTAGACACCAGTAAGGAGAAAGGGTTGGGTAGTTGAGCTCACAGGTTTTCACCCCAGCCTTTAATCTTAAGTTTTACTCATAATTAGAACACTAGAGATTTAGTTAGAGCTAACTTTAGTGCCAGTGGGAGCACAATTCTTGCCAGGCCAAGGCCTGAGAAGCCAGGTTGCTGCTAGAGAAGCAGGCTGGTAACTATGGAGTTGCAGCTGCTGGCTGAGAGAGCCCTGTGCCCAAGTTAAAACTGTGTTCTGTTGCTCCGACCCCTTCAATGAACCAACGTACCCCCTCACTGTTGCTCTCAAATTCATTGCTTCTTATATTATTGTTATTATTATTGCATATATAAACACATAAATATAACTTGCTGAGTCCGTTTGGAGTAGCTTGTATGTATGCGATTTCAGGATGACCACTTGCTATTGTATAGCCAGTTAGGGGACCCATCCCTGGAAAAATCCAGTTCTTTCTCTCTCAGCAGTGGTTAGTTGTTTGTCTAGGGGTAGAGCCTCATGAGGTTTTCCCTTCCACATCAGCATGTGTATTGGTGTTGTTGTTTGGGTCTTGTTTAGGCAGCCATATTGTTTCAATATCATGGGTGAAGCTTTCTTGTTTCTAGGAGACACAATCTCAAAGCAGACTTCCTGGTCCCCTGGCTTTTACAATTTTTCTATCCCTTCTTTTTTGATGTTCCCTGAGCCTTTGGAGCAGGAGTTGTGTTGTAGATGTATTTGTCATGGCTGGGTACTTCATGATCTGTTAGTCTTTGTATTTTGACCATCTGTGCTTTTCTGTGATGGTTTCCATCTTCTGCAAAGACAAGCTTCTGATGAGGGACCAGAGTGACACTCACCTGTGGGTATAAGGACAAGTATTTAGAAAGCGGTTGAGAGTTATGCGGTTCTAGTAGAGTGGTGTTAGTAGGTTTTCCTCTAAGATCCATGACCTCAGTAGGCCCAGGTAGTTGGCTAGGTTTCTCATGCCAGGCTGTTGAGATGCCTTAGGTCCAATTAGAGAGCAGTTGGTTACCAAGAAGTCTGAGTGCCACTCTTTAGTGCCCCTGTCTTGCAGGGCTTATCATTGTTGTGGTTCCTAGGCATCACAGCTGGGTAGGGCTATTAATCACTAACCTCCTTTGGCAGCTTGCATTGTACCTTCTGATACTATGAAAGCCAATCTTCATCGAGGAGGCTTTGTCTGAGTATTCTTTATTTAGAGATAATTAGGATCTAGATAATTTTGGGGTCTGGAGAAGTGTTGTGATTATGTATAGTGTAACACTCACTTCACCATGAGCAGTATATAAAAGGCCTTCTCAGCATTAATATTCATTTTCTGAGTTTATACACAGTTAAAGATATTTTAGTTTTGCAAAATGATAGATTGACATTTTCATCAGATACCAAATTATTAGGTTGTCCTTCCTGCCATGGAGACTCTTAAGGATGGCCTTGTGTGTCATAGAGTTAAAGTAGCCATTCTGAAGCCAGAGGCTTTATTCCCTGTTTGAAGTGTTAGTTGCATGCTCTGCTGTCTTGACAGAATTCCGCAGACAAAGTGGCTTAAACAAGAAAGCTTATTTTTTCATAGTTCTGGAGGCTGTAAGTTCAAGATTAGGGAGGTACAGCAGGAGATGGTTCCTGGTCAGGGCCCTCTTCCTGGCCTTCAATGGCTACCTTCTTGTTATGTTATTACTTGACCTCTTCTCTGTGCTAATGCATATAAGGGAGAAAGGAAGTGTGGTCAGACATTTTCATCAGCCTGCTGGCCCCCCCAGTAATAACATGGAGTATTATTATTAATTACAAAAGCTCAGATGATAGCTTAGGCTTGTTTCTAACTAACTCTTATAACTTAAATTAACTCATATCTTTTAATGCACATCCTACTACGTGGCTTTTACCTCAATCACATTTTGTGTGTTCAACTCATTCTGCATCTAACTAGTGACTCCTGGAGTCTCTGCCCTTCTTCCTCCCAGCATTCTCTCTGCCCCAAAAATCCTATTGGCATTGGCTGTTTAGCTTTATTAAATCAATTACCGTGACATATATTTACACAGTGTAAAGGAATATTCCACAACAGGGGAGAGAAGGGGGGGAGGGAGGGAGGGGAGATTTTAATGTATAAATTTTGGGGGGAAATCACAATTCCATCCATAATAAAAGGTAATGTGGATGTTTTGCCAAAAGGTCCAAAACATTTTCACTTAGTTTTGTAGCTTATGTAAATATAAGATGTAGATCTTTATTGTTTTGGAAAAATGCAGCTCCTTGTTTTAATTTGTCTGTTGTCTGACAATTTTTATCCTATTTGATAGTATTTACTGTTTTAAAAAGGGTTTGACTTTCAAGATTTTCATCTGCTTTGTTTTTTATATCATTCCAGGCATACACCCAGTATCCCTTACTCAAATGTTACAACCAGAAGCTTTCAGATTCTGGTGTTTGGAGTACTTGAACATATATAATGAGATATCAGGGTTAGGACTGAGGTCTACGTACTAAATGTATCTGTGTTTCATAAAGATCTGTACACATAACCAGAGAACCATTTTTGCAGTGTTTTTAGTGTCGCTGTGTGTTGACTGACACCTGTCCTATAAGATCACTTCGATGTCAGGTTGGTGCTCAGAGTTTCAGGTTTGGGGCATCTTAGGATGCTCCCCTGTGTGCTTTCTTCTTTTACTTTGTCTCCATTTTTGTTTTGATTACTTTTATCTTTTTCTTTATTTTAGCATTTTTATGTAATATTGGTTGTTATCATTTCTTCTCATTGCATGTGTGAGTGTGGGCTTGGTAGGTTCAGGAGGTCGGTGACCAGGGGATAGGGCAGCTATCCTGGAGTGTGATGGGCTGAGCCTGCCACTGCCACTGTGAGTGCCAGGAAGCATGTGTTTCTTCAAGCAGCGGCTCACCCTTTGTCTGTTCTTTGGAGAACTCCTCTCTCTCTGGTCTAGGTACTGGGAATAGCACCAGAAGTCTTCACTCCTTCCGCTGCCTTTGGTGTCCTGCATCAATGGCTCTTAGTTTCAGGGATGTTAAGTGTAACGTAGGTAATGAATGTACTCCTCCTTGTCTGAGACTTGTTGAACTTTGAACTTTTGGTGAGTCCTGAGAGCAGAGGCCCCACAGAGTTTTCACTCTGCCTTGTCAAAGCTTTTAAGACCCACAGGAAGATACCTCTAACTAGTCACCTTTGGTGAACCCTGCTTTTGCAACTAGGGAGTTCTGTAATACCCTGGCCAGCATGCCTTCGGTTAGCCTTTTTATAGTAGTTCCATGAAATTTGAGTGAACATAATCTAATGTTTCCTTACAGACAGAACCTCCACTGAACACACCAGAAAACAGAGAGTACCTTGCGGAAATCATGTTTGAATCATTTAATGTACCAGGACTTTATATTGCAGTACAGGTAAAAACAGTATTGTTTTTGTGGTTCTGACAGTCCAAGAAGCAGTAATCCAGGGCCCTTGTGCTCAGACTGGGCCAGACATTCCTCTTTTCTCTCTCTTGGTGTTTACCCCATCACCAAACTATTCATGTTTGAATCAAAGCACCACAAGGAATTTTGTCTATAATTTATTTTTATATAACTACCACTGATAGAAAATTCAAATGGCTCTACAGTTTTCCTATGCAGAGTCTCATGTGTTTTTATTTGGGTGTCAAGTTAAAGGTGTAGATGTGTTTCATTTTTTTAGCTTCTTACACTCACTTTGGGCCACTGTAAGTATAAGAAACAACAAACAAACAAAAAACAACCAAAATGAAATGAACAGATAGCATAACATCCATTGGGAAGATAATAATCTGGGAGGGTGGCTCAAGCCATGATCCTACCACCTGGGAGGGTGAGGCAGGAGGATATAGGTCAGCCTGGGCTATCGCATGTGTTCTGAGGAAAGTCTGGGTTACAAAGTGAGAACCTGGATCAAAGACAAAGCAAACAAAAGCCGAAGTGAAGTAACTGCCTTTGGAGAGCCCTGTGATTAGGCTGCATTAATTCCATGAAGTTTTGCTTCAAGAGGCCCAGAGCTCCCAAAAGCTTCCTGAACTCTTGAAGATTCCTTCACTTGGCTTACAGTTTTATTGTTGCTTTGGTAGTTATATACAAGGGAGTTGGTTAGAGTTTTGAGGAGTAGTTAACATGAGTCTTGCTCCAAAATTTCCTGCATAATACTACTTTCTTCCAAGAAAGAAGAGTTCCATGGAGAAATGTATTTTGGAGGAACTGTTGTCTCCCCATGGTGAATCATAGTACCTGTTAACACAGTAAAGGCTCTATCCATTCCCATAGAAGAAATCTACTAATTCTATTATCTTCCAAGACACATATAGTGTATAGAACACGGAGGTATTAAGAAACACTGGATTTATTATTATTACTACTACTACTACTACTACTACTACTACTACTACTACTAATAATAATAATAATAATAATAATACAAGACCTTACTCTATAACCTACTCAGCCCTCAAATTCAGGGTGATCCTCCTTATCTCAGCCTCTTGTGATGAAAGGTGTGTGCCACCATGTCCCACAAGGACTAATGGTTCTTAAGATGGCCTATGTGTCAACTTCACTCAGAATATGCTCTTTTAAACATTTAAATTCCTGCGTTCCATCTTGGCCTGGCTTTGGGCTGGACAGTTCCTTGCTGTAGGGTGTCCTGTGCATTGTAGAGTAGGGAACAGCAGCCAGTCCCAACCTCCTCTCCAATGATAGTTGTGACAGTGAGCAATGGCAGAAGTGGCCAAATGTTCTGGAAAGAGCAGAGTTGCCTCTGGGTGAGAACCACTGTCTTATTTCCTACCAGATTAAAGTTTCTGGACTGGAGGTCCCATAATCTGTCAGAGAAGAGCTGGGGATGTAACTTGGTTGGTAGGTTAGCTTTTGTGCTTACATAGCACAAAACCCTGGGTTTGATACCAAGCATGGCAGAAGCTGTGTATAGTGGTGCACATCTGAATTCCTAGTACTCTGGAGTTGGAGGCAGGAAGATCACAAGTTCAAGGCCATCCTTGACTACATGATAAGTCTGAAGTCAGCCTGGGTTACATGAGACCCTGCCTCAAAACACAAACTTGCAAGCAAGCAAGCAAGCAAGCAAGCAAGCAAGCAAGCAAGCAAGCAAGCAAGCAAGCAAGCAAGCAAACAAGCAAACAAGCAAACCAACCCTCCATCAGTAGTGGAATTCCATTTTGCTGGTTTTTGTTTGTAACTTTATACTTTTTTGTTTAAAACTTGACTCCTTCATCTGAAATGAAAATTGGCATGCCAGTTGGCTGAGTGAGAATGGTAATTTGGGAGATGTGTGTAGGGAAGCGAAGTTTCTTAGACTCACTAAGTAAGAAAGTGTTCACCACAGAACCCAAGAGTGGTGGCTGCTCATCTTCTGGGTGCTGTCTCTCTTCAGATGTTCAATGTCTCTCTCTAGGCGGTGCTGGCTTTGGCGGCTTCGTGGACATCCCGGCAAGTTGGTGAACGCACACTGACGGGGATAGTCATAGACAGTGGAGATGGAGTCACCCATGTTATCCCAGTGGTAAGCACAGGGTTCCTATCTTACTACCTGAGGCTTAACACCTATCCTGAGGTAAGAGACGAATTGAAACAGGCAAAACAAAAGGCAACCTCTAACTAAAATACCACCTTTTTATTTTCATTTAAAATTTTATTAAAAATATTATATACCATTTCGTTCAGGCTTGTTGTTGTAAAAGATTTGTTTTCATCACCCAGATCCACCTAAGTATAACTGAATTATTCTTTTTAAAAAATTTTATTTATTATTTTACATGTCGATCCCCAGTTCCCTCTCCCTCCTCCCCTCCCTCCCTCGTTTCCTCCCTCTTACCCTCTCTGCCTCCACACATGCACCCTGACCACCCTCCCCTCCCATCCCCCCACCCCAATTCCACATGTAGGGCAATGCCATCCAGGTGGAGTCATATAAATTTGTCAAGTCATTTGAAGTAGGGACTAGGACTTCTCTCCTGTCTCTAGGTTAAGGCAGTATCCCTCCATGGGGGATGTGTCCTCAAGGTCCTTTTGTGCACCAGGAATACATCCTGGTTCCACTGTCTGAGGTCCCTTAGACTACTCAGTCCTTCTAGCTGAGACCTATATTCGGGGGGGGGGTCTGAGTCAGTCCCATGCTGGATCCCCAGCTATCAGTCTGGGGGCCCGTTAGCTCCTCCTTGTTCAGGTCAGCTGTCTCTATGTGTTTCTGCAACCTGGTCTTGTCCTCTCCCTCTGCATCTGGATTCTAGTTCGACTCAGTGTTTAGTTATGGGTGTTTGCTACTGTTTCCAACAGGTACTAGATGAGGGCTCCATGATGGTGGATAAGTTAGTTGTTGATCTCACTATCTGGGAAGGGCATTTATGGTAGCCTTTCCACGGTTGCTCAAATTGTTAGTTGGCAGCAGTTTTGTAGGTCTCTAGACCTTTCTTTAGGTTCAGTTTTCTCTTCAAACCAATAATGGCTTCCTCTTTTATGTTTGTTCTCTCTCTCTCTCTCTCTTTTCTGTCTTCTATTCCTAATTGGGCTCAATCTTCCTAGTCACATGTGCTTTCCTCTCCTCCCCTTCTCTTTCTCCTACTTCTCTCTCTATTCACTGCCCTCCCCTACTTCCCCTGTGCTCTGGGGGACTTGTCCCTTCCTGCTTCTGTGAGGGACTTTATATGAATCTCTTAGAATACACCTTGTATCCTAGTTCCTCTGGTGGTGTGAATTATAGGCTGGTGATCCTTTGCTCTAGGTCTAAAATCCATATATGAGTACATACCATGTTCCTCATCATTCAGGATGGTTTCTTCAAGTGCCATCCACTTGCCTGCGAATTTGAAGATTGCATTATTTTTATTTTTTTCTGCAGAGTAGTATTCCACATCTTCTTTATCCATTCTTCAGTTGAGGGACATCTAGGTTGCTTCCAGGTTCTTGCTATTACAAATAGTGCTGCTATGAACATAGTTGAACAGTTGTCTTTGTTGCATGGATGTGGATCATTTGGGTATATGCGTAGGAGGAGGATTGCCGGGTCCTGTGGTAAACTAATTCCCGTGTTCCTGAGAAACCACCATACTGATCTCCAAAATGTCTGTATGAAGTTTGCACTCCCACCAGCAGCGGGAGTGTTCTCCTTTCTCCACATCATCTCCAGCTAAGTTGTCATTGGTGCTTCTAATTTTAGCCATTTTGACAGGAGTAAAATGGTATCTTAAAGTTGTTTTGATTTGCATTTCCCTGATAGCTAAGGATGTTGAGCACTTTCTTAAGTGTCTTTCAGCCTTTTTGGTTTCCTCTATTGAGAATTCTTTCTTCAGTTCTGTACCCCATTTTTAATAGGGTTATTTGGTGTTTTGTTGACTAGTTTCTTGAGTTCTTTGTATATTTTGGAGATCAGCCCTTTGCCAGATTTAGGATTGGTGAAAATCTTTTCCCAGTCTGTGGGCTGCCGTTTGGTCTTGTCCACTGTGTCCTTTGCCTTACAGAGGTTTTTAAGTTTGAGGAGGTCCCATTTATTAATTGTTGCTCTCAGTGTCTGTGCCCCTGGAGTTATGTTCAGGAAGCCGTCTACTATACCAATTTTTTCAAGGGTACCTCCCACTTTCTTTTCTAAGAAGTTCAGTGTGGGTGGATTTATGTTGAGGTGTTTGACCCATTTGGACTTGAGTTTTGTGCGTGGTGATAGACATGGGTCTATCTGCAGTCTTCTACACACCCTCATCCAATTGTGCCAGCACCATTTGTTGAAGATGCTTTCCTCACCCCATTTGTATTCTTTTAGCTGTTTTGTCTAAAATCAGGTGTTCATAGGTGTGTGGGTTTATATCAGGATTTTCTATTCGATTCCATTGGCCTACCTGTCTGTTTTTGTGCCAATACCAGGCTGTTTTCAGAACTATATCTCTGTAGTAGAGCTTAAAGTCAGGGATGGTGATGCTTCCTGAAGTTCTTTTATCGAACAGGGTTGTTTTGGCTATCCTGGGTCTTTTGTTTATCCTTTCAAGGTCAGTGAAGAATTATGGTGGGATTTTAATGGGGATTGCATTGAATTTGTAGATTGCTTTTGGCAAGATTTCCATTTTTACCATATTTATCCTCCATAGGAGATCTTTCCATTTTCTGGTATCTTCTTTAATTTCTTTCTTTAGAGCCAAATAGTTCTTATTATATAGGTCTTTCACTTGTTTGGTAAGTGTTACCCCAAGATACTTTATGTTGTTTGTAGCTATTGTAAAGGGTGATGTTTCTCTGATTTCTTTCTTAGCCTCTTTGTTGTCTGAATAAAGTAGGGCTACTGATTTTTTTTTGAGTTTATCTTGTATCCTGCTAGTTTGCTGAAGGTGTTTATCAGCTGTAGGAGTTCCCTGGTAGAGTTTATTGGGTCGCTATGTAAACTATCATATCATCTGCAAATAGAGACAGTTTGAGTTTTTCCTTTCCAATTTGGATCCCCTTGATCTCCTTTTGTTGTCTTATAGCTTTAGCTAGAACTTCAAGTACAATATTGAAGAGATATGGAGAGAGAGGGCAGCCTTGTCTTGTTTCTGATTTTAGAGGAATTGCCTTAAGCTTCTCTCCATTCAGTTTGAGATTGGCTGTTGGTTTACTGTATATTGTCTTATTATGTTTAGGTATGTCCCTGATCTCTCCAAGACCTTTATCATGAAAGGGTGTTGAATTTTGGTGAAGGCTTTTTCAGTATCTAGGGAGATGATCATATGGTTTTTCTTTTTCAGCTTGTTTATATGGTGGATCACGTTGATAGATTTTCATATGTTAAACCATCCTTGCAAACCAGGGATGAAGCCTACTGATTTCTCTGATGTATTCTTGGATCCGGTTTGCCAGTATTTTATTGAGTATTTTTGCGTTGATGTTCATCAGGGATATTGGTCTGTAGTTTTCTTTCTTAGTAGTATCTTTCTGAGGCTTGGGTACCAAGGTGATTGTGGCCTCATAGAAAGAGTTTGGCAATGAACCTTTTCTTTCTATTGTGTGGAACAATTTGAGGAGTATTGGTATTAGTTCTTCCTTGAATATCTGGTAGAATTCTGCACTGAAGCCATCTGGCCCTGGGCTTGTTTTTGTTGGAAGCTTTCGATTACTGCTTCTATTTCATTGCGGGTTATAGGTCTATTTAAGTTGTTTGTCTGTTCTTGATTTTGTCCATTTCCTTTGAATTTTAAATTTTTGTGGAGTACAGGTTTTTAAAATATGACCTGAAAATTGTCTGGATTTCCTCTGTATCCATTGTTATGTTCCCCTTTTTGTTTCTGATTTTGTTAATTTGCATGTTTTCTCTCTGCTTTTTCATTAGTTTGGATAAAGGTTTGTCTGTCTTGTTGATTTTCTCAAAAAACCAACTCTTTGTTGCATTGATTTTTTTGTATTGTTTTCCTGGTTTCTATTTTGTTGATTTCAGCCCTCAAATTGTTTATTTCCTGGCGTCTACTCCTCCGGGGTGAGTTTGCTTCTTTTTGTTCTAAGGCTTTCAGTTGTGCTATTAATTCTCTAATGCAACTATCCTCTGTTTTCTTCATATGGGCACTTAGTGCAATGAACTTCCCTCGTAACACTGCTTTCAAGGTGTCCCATAAGTTTGGGTATGTTGTGTCCTCATTCTCATTGAATTTTAGAAAGTCCTTAATTTCTTTCTTTATTTCTTCTTTGACCCAGGTGTGGTGCAATTGCACAGTGTTCAGTTTCCATGAGTTTGCAGGTTTTCTGCTATTTGTGTTGTTGTTGAATTCCAATTTTAAAGCATGGTGGTCTGATAAGATACAGGGGACGATTCCAATTCTCTTGTATCTGTTGAGGTTTGTTATGCCACGTAGTATGTGGTTGATTTTAGAGAAGGTTCCATGTGGAACAGAGAAGAAGGTATATTCTTTTGTGTATGGATGGAATGGTCTATAGATGTCTATTAAACCTAGTTGAGACATAACTTCTGTTAGTTCTTTTGTTTCTTTGTTGAGTTTCTGATTTGTGGTCCTGTCTAGTGGTGAGAATGGTGTGTTTAAGTCTCCCATTATAAGTGTGGGAGGTTTTATGTGATGTTTGAGTTTTAGTAGTGTTTCTTTTACAAATGTGGGTGTCTTTATATTTGGAGCATAGATGTTCAGAACTGAGACTTTGTGTTGATGGATTTCTCCTGCGATGAATATGAAATGACCGTCTTCATCTCTTTTGATTAATTTTGGTTTGAAATCTAAATTGTTAGATATTAGGATAGGCACATCTGCTTGCTTCTTGGGTCCATTTGATTGGATGATCTTGTCCCAACCCTTTACCCTGAGGTAATGTCTATCTTTGAAGCTTAGATGTGTTTCATGTATGCAGCAGAAAGATGGATTCTGTCTTCGTATCCATTCTGTTAGCCTGTGTCTTTTTATAGGTGAGTTAAGACCACTAATGTTGAGGGTGAGTAAGGAACATTGATTGTTATTGCTTGTTTGTTTTAGATTTGTTGTTGGCAGTGGTATTGTGAATATATTTATCCCGCTTTACCCTTGGTTTCTGGTGTAGTGAGATTATCTGTTGCCTATGTCTTTGTAGGCATAGTTAACTTTTTTGGGTTGGAGT